TGTATTATCATGATGTTTTGTGCTTGGCAGGTACGCACAAAAATTTCTGCAGTAGCTGCCTGCACTTCTGGTTGAGATATACTTTAAGTGACGCGTGGTGGTTATTTTCCCTTCAGGAGTTGGAGCCCTAGTCTGGGGGTGGAAAATGGCAATAACATGGACACCTCTGTTCTTGGAAATGAAGTAACCACTTGGGTTCTCAATAAACAATAAATTGCAGTGCGTTACAATCCTAAGAAAAGCTACATGGCCAAGAGTTCATCTCATCCTTCCAAGGGTTTTACCATTGCTTCTGAAATATTATGGCAATATTCCACGAATAGCCATCCCAGGTACATTCTGATATTTACTTTTAATGTGCCATGCCCGCAAGAGTTTAATTGTGGAATAAATGAACCGGGCGTGGGAGTTTTATCCTAGTAACAACATATAATTTTGTTTAATCATGTTGAGCTGTAAACTAAGCTTTGATAGACCTGTATAAAATGGAAAACCCAAGTTAATGTCAGAAGTTCCGAGAAGAAGAAGGTTCTTTAGCTGCAACACAAATCCCTGGGAGAGAACGCTGAGAACACAGACCCTGAACACCTCTTTGAGAAAGGCTTGCTAGCAGCTGAAGCCAAGCCACACACAGGGGTCTGATATCAGGGACAGTTAAGAAGAATCCGGAAGAGAATCCAATATTTGTTTTTTAAGGGCACAGGCTTCCTTCTCCACAGTGGAAAAAGCCACAGATGAGAAAAGCCTGGTCCCACACTGCTCTGAGCAGTCTCTCTGGGGTGCCATCCCCTGGGGAGAAAAATGATGCCAGGTACTCACCAAACCTACTGCACATCCCCTGAAGATGATGAGCCTTGCAAAGACGTCTGGGCTCGTCCAGCATCTATGTAAAGTCATCCAGTTTAGTTCAGTTCTAATGACTTTCTGATTAGAAACATAAACGTGTGTGTGTGCGTACACGCAGTGTGATGTATGTGTAATTAATATACATGCAGGCAGTTATATGTGTTTATTTTTTATTTATTTATTTTTTTGCGGTACGCGGGCCTCTCACTGTTGTGGCCTCTCCCATTGCGGAACACAGGCTCTGGACGCGCAGGCTCAGCGGCCATGGCTCACGGGCCCAGCCTCTGAGCGGCATGTGGGATCTTCCCGGACCGGGGCACGAACCCATGTCCCCTGCATCGGCAGGCGGACTCTCAACCACTGCGCCACGACGGAAGCCCCCCCCAAAAAAAGAAAAAAAAAATTCTGATATACACAAATGAGTGTGTTGAATGTAATGCAGGTGTTTTCATTAAACTTGGCTTTTTACCGTCTAGAATTTACTCCTTCACTTTGAAATTCTTACCTAAAAATTATTTATATCCCTGGAGAATGTTTTCATTCCTTTAGAAATGATTTTTTTTTTTTTTTTTTTGGCTGCACCTCACGGCTTGCAGGATCTTAGCTCCCTGACCAGGGATCGAACCCATGCCCCTGCAGTGGAAATGCGGAGTCCTAACCACTGGACCGCCAGGGAAGTCCCCAGAAATGATACACTGATTGCTCTGTGTACATGGTTGGGTTACTGATAAAGAGGGAAGAATTACTACATTCAGGTGTGGGGTGGAGGGAAGACAGATCACCTTTTCTATACCTGTTTGTACCAAATTCTGGAAATTATCTTGGTATGAATCCTTACCGCTGCCCTCTGAATTATGGGGTTATCATTCCCATTTCACACATACTGAGGCCAAGGCTCAGAGGACCCAGGTGACTCATTCAAGGCCACACAGCTTGTGAAGGGCAAGAGGCAAGGTCCAAACCCATGTGTCACAGACTCTCCCCATCCACACCTTGCCAGATGGGGGGTGGGTATAGAAAGTCTTGGAAAAGCTGCACAAGAGAGGCTTATCTTTGATTGAAGGGATCCAGGGAAGATGGGCTTCATGGTTTTTAACAGGTTATTGGGGATTATTTGTGATTTCTCCAAGAGCAGCATCCCTCTGAAGTTTGGAAACAAACATCCTGTTGGGTATAATTCACAGCTCTTCACTGTAGATTGCTTTGTAGACAGGGTCTCCTTTCCAAGGTTTGAATAAGTCTGTCTTTTTTTTTGCGGTACGCGGGCCTCTCACTGCTGTGGCCTCTCCCGTTGCGGAGCACAGGCTCCAGACGCGCAGGCTCAGCGGCCATGGCTCACGGGCCCAGCCGCTCCGCGGCCTGTGGGATCTTCCCGGACCGGGGCACGAACCTGTGTCCCCTGCATCGGCAGGCGGACTCTCAACCCCTGCGCCACCAGGGAAGCCCCTAAGTCTGTCTTTTGAGGTGCTCATTTTTAACTTTTCTGTGTATGGTCATTAGCTACTTGAACATTCTTTGTGTCTTCCTCAGTCAGTGTATGAAGCATTGTGATAAAACGTCTTTTGGAAATCAAGAATGGGAGACACTATGCACCCCAGTGTATTATAAAGTCCTTGTCCTGTGGATCAGGACTTCATAATACACTGTGACCAGGACACTGTAATGAGAGGCAGCACTCTGAACCGGAGCACCAAGTTCAGGTTCTCCAATGGGAAAAGAACAGACCAGTGGGGTCTTAGAGGGGTTTAGAGTCAACACAGATACCCACAGTCCAGGTTCAGCTAAGGAAGCAACATCAGTCAATGGCCTCTTCAAACCAGGAGCCCCAGGGCCAGCCCAGACCAGTGAGGAAGCAGATGCTGTCTGTAGGCAAATCCCCAGCGCCACCGAGGGAGAGGCTCCTGGTCCCCAGTGCTAGGCAGGACCTGCTTCTCCCCTCGCCTGAGCTCTTTCTGTGGGGCCCAGCCAGCCTTTCCCTAGTAGATTCCACTCACCCCCGAGACTGGGGTCTCCTGGAAATGCAGCCGCCTGATTGGCCTCCCCTCAATCTTCTTTAATCCTTAGGGTCCTGAGGCTAAGGATTTGTTTTTAATTCTTTTTTTAAAAATGAAAATAATACATAAGCTTTCTAAAATTTAATTCTTTTTAAAAATGAAACTGATACATAAGCTTGGAAAAAGTGAGGAAGAAAGGAAGGAACTTCACAAATATAGTATAAAAGGTTTTCAACCAAATGTGAAAGTCTCCTTCACTCCTCGCTTCTGTTTCCCAGATTTAACCAGAGTTGATAGTTTCCTTTGTATCTTTGGAGAAGTTCTATCTGTAATATATGAATATGTGTAAGCCTTTTTAAATTTATGTGTGATTTTTACTCCTCCATGTCTTACCTTTTTAATTTAGTATATATTACAGATCTTTCCAGAACATCCGTGCAGATCTACCTCTTTATTTTCTCTTCATTTATTTATTTTATTAATAATAATAAAAATAATAATAAAAATATTTCAGTGAGATATGGGTGTTCTGAACTCTTAAGTGTCTAACAACATAGCTAAAAGTAAGTGAACACCAGACTTGGCAGAATTACCAAGAGAAATCGATCGATCCATAATTAGGGTGATGACCTAACCAGGTCTTTCAGAAACTGATACAGATCAATAGGCCAAAAGCAAAGAATAATGACATAGGAGGTTTGAATCACCCCATTAACAAGTTTGATTGAGTGGAAATATGAGGGATTCTGTATTCAACAGAGTGCACATTCTGTACACACTCTCATGGGATGTTTAGAAAAGCAGGCATATACTTGCTGTAAAGGAAATCTCACTGCTAATCTTGTGGTTGTAATTTCTGAAGTGGCTTTGTCATTTCCCTCTCCTTCTTTCCTGAGTTAGTTCTACCACTTCCTATTTCACATCTGCCTATTTTCTGACCATCTAAACTGAATTCCTTTATTTCTGCTTTAGGTTCTTCCTTCTTAGCTGTAATTGCTTTGTAAAGACTTTGCTGCTTTCTTTTTAATTCATGATGGAAATGAAATGTGGGGTCTAATTTTCATCGGCTCATGGCAGCATTTTTCAGGTGAAATTTTATCATCCCTTGTGAAGGTGGGCTTCTCTCTTTCATCATTTTTCATATGCTGTCTTTGCAGGATGCTGAGCTTATTCCGCAGGACTATCAGGAATCATGTCCTTTCCCCGCTTTGCTTTTCTCAATCATGCTTAATAACATCTGATACAGATGGGTGTGCTTCTATAATTTACTTGACAGATTGTCTGACTCACTAGTTTGAAAGGAACGGTTTGCGTCTCTTTGACTCACAGCTGACCCTGGTAGCTAAATCAGTACCTTATACATAGTCAGTACTCGATAAATATTTGTTGAATAAATTAGCACCAAAAAAAAAACCAGATCTGGAATTAAATTGGTCATCTCAAAGCCCATTTATTAAGGTTTTAATACATTATTACAGGAAGCGTGGAAGCCAGGAATCTGAGGGAGGAGGGAACCCACTGTTTGTCCAAGTAATCATCTCCACACTGACTCCTGCGTGCCAGGGGGAATGTGCTTCATATTAAGGCATTGAGCCCCTGCTCTCTAACACACTGCTAGTAGAATATAAGATGCCTCTTCCGCTGTATGGGGAAGGTTTGGCAAGATACACATGCCAGTTGATGTAGCCGTTTGGACTCTAAGAATTTTTCCCATAAAAGTGGTCACACAGTCTGCACGGTCGTGTGTATGGTAAGAAAATCTTAAATAGCTGTCGTTTGAGGTTAGCGTTCAGAGCTGGGTCCATACACCTCAGGGGTGCATTTGATGACCCCTTGAAACAGGGCAGAAAAGTCACAACTATTTATATTTATTTTCTAAATAAAAGATAGAAATTCAGCTTCACTAATATTTACAATCAGAATGACTCTACACCATCGCTCAGTCAGCAGTTTGGGGTCAGATGGCCAGTTAGACACTGAATTCCCAGGGGAAGGAGGACAGAAGTTCCCACCTCACTTGTGGATTTGTTTTTAGCATACGACTGCTTTTTGCAGTTTCCATGTGTCCAGTTGAGTGGATTTCTAGATTATTCTCTAATCCGATATTATAAAGGCACAAACAGCCTCATCCGTTTCAGGACATGACCCTCACTCTTCCAGGGACATCCTGGCGGAAGGAGCAGACGGAGGACCTGCAGCGGGTGCTCAGAACCGTGGACAGCGAGATCCCACTGGTCCTTGTCAGCGGCAACCATGACGTGGGCAATGTCCCCACCCCCGAGACCATCGCGGAGTTCCAGCAGACTTGGGGAGATGACTATTTCAGCTTCTGGGTTGGGGGCGTCCTGTTCCTCGTCCTCAACTCCCAGTTCTTATACGATGCCTCCATGTGCCCTGCCTTGAAGCAGGCCCAGGACCAGTGGCTGGACCAGCAGCTGAGCATCGCAGGGCAGCGGAAGTGCCAGCACGCCATCGTCTTCCAGCACATCCCGCTGTTCCTGCAGAGCGTCGACGAGGACGACAGCTACTTCAACCTCACCAAGCTGGTGCGGAAGGAGGTGGCAGACAAGTTCTCCCGAGCAGGTAGGCCCGGGGCCCCAGGTGTCTGGGTGATCTGGAGAGGAGGTGTTCAGATCCTTCTGCTGCCCCTCTGCGGCCTGGCAAAGGGGAGAGAGGAGGGGGCTTTGGTCAGGACTGGATTCTCATCCCAGCTCTGGCACTCATGGCTGTGTGGCCTTAGATGAGCTGCCTTGCCCTCCGAGCCTCAGCTTCCTCGTCTGTAAAGTAGGAGTAGCAGAAGCAGCTCTCTCGTGGGGTGGCTGTGAGGATTCAGTGAGAAGGGGCCTGGACAGGATTAGAGTAGCCCCAAGCTGAGTACTGAAGTCACAGCTGCTCACAGCTGAGGATGGGGACCCTGCAGGTTGGGGGTTATTGGGGGGTGGGGGGGGCCGGGCGGGTCTGGTCTGAGTGTGGCTGTATGTGCCCCAGGCAAAGGAAGATGCCAGGAGTATCTTTTCTCATTTCTCTGGGAAGCAGGAACTTGCCCAAGGGCAGATGATATTTAAGAGCCAAACCCTACCAGTATTAGATGTAACCCGGGAAATCCTGGAATGTGGCTATAGGGCAGGTCCTGGAGCCTCATCAGTGTTCCTTTCGTGAGGTGGACTGAGTTCTCCTCCAAAAGTAAGAGGAGAAATCTGTTTAGTCTGATCTTAACCCTGCTGTGAATTTTAAGCTAATCACACATATGACACATACGTGAGCGCACACACACACACAGTGAGGACACTCCGTTTCTAGAGATCTCAGTTCCGCTGGCGCTGTGTGCACCGCCAGCCCACACACCTCATTCCTCCTCCTGGGAGCACCTGCAGCTTTCCTCTCACGAGAAATGGTGCGTTCTTGGCTGGTTCCCTGCGTTACCACTGCCTTGGCACGATTCCAGTTTTGACGGCTGCTGTGTCTCTTGTTTGGGTCCTAATGCCTCCTTTCAGATCTTTCCAGAGTGTACTTCATCGGGCCCCTCTAAAATATAAATGTGTTCTTTTATTTGTTAGGGGGTAGGGAGAGGGAGAGGGCCTGACCCAATAAGTAGCAAGCATTCATTAAAAAAAAATCCTGGCACTCTTTTCACCTTTGAGCATTCAATGTGTTCACATTTACTTGTGAAAAGTACAATAGGCCCTTCTGTATTTTCGAGACATTTTACAAAAAGCTTGCATAATTGGAGACGTTTTCCAACTGTTCCATGGAGATGAAGTTGGAAAACTTCTATCAAAGCCTTTGAAATTTTATGCCATGCTTGAGTTGGTGCAGAAAACCAACTTTTTTTGTTTTTGTTGACGAGGAAATGAAGTGTCAAGATGGCATCAGCACCACCACGGAGACTATTTTGTAACAGAGAATAATGCCGGAGAGAACACTTAGTGCCACTGAAATGATTCCTTTTATATCAAATGTTAAATGATGCAAGTGCCGTCCCCATGGCTGCCCTTTGCTGTCAGCCACATCCTTGAGTGGCATGGGGTTCTGGGTGTCCCACTGTAGGACGGAGCACATGCGGTCCAGGAGCAGCCCCAGATACTGAGACCTGGAGACGTTTATAAAGAGGGCGATCCCAGCTCTAACAGCACATTCTTGGGGGAATCCTGCTGCCCACCCACCAGGAACCCCAGAGGGTGACATCGCATCTGGGATGCACCAGCCACCTCCCCCGTCAGGCCTGCAGCCCTGTAAGCGCAGGGAGGATTTGTCGGCACCCCCAGAGCTGGTCTGTGTCTCGGAGGTGGGCTCCAATTGCCCCAGCTCACAGAGACTGATATCTACCACCAGAATGGCATTTTATTAATTTAAAAAAATTTTTTTAAACATCTTTATTGGAGTATAATTGCTTTACATTGGTGTGTTAGTTTCTGCTTTATAACAAAGTGAATCAGCTATGCATATACGTATATCCCCATATCTCCTCCCTCTCGCATCTCCCTCCCACCCTCCCTATCCCACCCCTCTAGGTAGTCACCAGGCACCAGGCTGATCTCGCTCTGCTGTGCGGCTGCTTCCTGTTGGCTATCTATTTTACATTTTATTAATTTAGAGCAAGGCTGAAATCCTCCCCTTAACCCTAGCAGTGCAGTCTCTTCCCGTAGGCAAAACAGCATGGGAGGCCCAGTTATAATCAGGAGGTTGCTTGCCGAGCATGAGACAGAGCAGAGGGACTAGTTTTCTTATCTGCTCTTTATTTTTCAACAGAAGTATAATTGATTTACAATACTGTGTTAGTTTCAAGTATACAACATAGTGATTCAGTATTTTTGCAGATTATGCTCCATTATAAATTATTACAAGATATTGGGTATAATTCCCTGTGTTGTACAGTACATCCTTGTTACTTATGTATTTTATATATAGTGGTTGGTATCTGTTAATTCCGTACCCCTAATTTGTCCCTTCTCCCTTCCCTCTCCCCTTTGATAACCACAAGTTTGTTTTCTATGTCTGTAAGTCTGTTTCTGTTTTGCATCTACATTCATTGGTATTATTTTTTAGATTCCACATATAAGTGATATCATATAGTATTTGTCTTTCTCTGTCTGACTTATGTCACTGGGCATAATAGTCTTTAGGTCCATCCGTGTTGCTGCAGATGGCAGTATTCCTTTTTTTATGGCTGAGTAATATTCCTGTGTGTGTGTGTGTGTGTGTGTGTGTGTATCACATCTTCTTAATCCAGTTGTCTATTGATGGGCACTTGAGTTGCTTCCATGTCTTGGCTACTGTAAATAATCTTATCAGCTCTTAATGGCCTCTGGTTCTGGAACTCTGATGGATTCTTCTCCAGTAGGGCCTCCTTGCCCAGGAAGATTGATACTTCATGTGCCTTTAATTCTGCCTCTTTAATAGCTCTCCAGCCTGTCCACTTCTTTAGGCCACCATTGCGTCTCAGCTGGGTGGCGGCAACAGCTTTCACTTGGTCCCCCTGCCCCACTCTTGCCCCATTCTGGTCCATTCTCCACTACATCCAGAGGAGTATGTAGCCCAACAGCATCTATCCTTCTGAGGCCCCTTCATACATAGGATAAGGCTGTCCTCACCCTTTGTCACTGTCTCTGCCTCTTCCATTTCATCTGGCCAAGGCCACCTCAACTTCCTGTATGAGGTGCCCCCAGCCCTGCCCCGCCAGGTTCTTCCTCAGCTTCCCTTGCTCCCAGTGCATTTGTAAGTGTCAGCCTGTCTGAAGCCCCCCTAGACTCTCAGCTCCTTGAGTGCAGGGGAGGCCTGGCTCGGGTCTTAGCCTATAATAAATGCTTCATCAGTGTTTGTGGAATGAGTGAAGGATGAACCTCTGATGCAGGCTCCTTCCCTCGGTGGCCAACCAGCCCAGCTCATTTCTCTGTTTAGCACCTACTGTGCACCTGGCACAGAGCAGACCAGGTCCCACTCGGTGGAACTCCTGGGCACAGCCTCTGTGTGGTGTGTTCCCAGTGTTGGGCACACATCATGCAGCCTCCTGGTCCTTCGGTTTTGGGTCAGGCCATGCGTGTGACTCTGCTCTGACCCACATGCTGACTTTCCAGGCTCACCCAGCAGTCAGTTGCTCTCTTCCCAAGTGGTCCCCTGCTGTTCCCATCAGGTACCACCTTCACTTATAGGCAGGTGTGCTCTTCTTGGTCACTGGCCTTAGGACCTTCCCTTAGACCTGATTGACCAGGCAAAAGCAGAGAGAAGAGTGCCCTTCCTGCAGTCACCTGTCAGTTTGAGTGGCTTCCCAAACCAGGCCCTTTGCTTAATGGCCTTTCAAACTCAGAACAAAGCATCGGCAGCGTTGGGAAGATATCGGGATCAGATGCAGTCACAGCTCCGTGGCAGCCTGAGGGGCCAGCTTGGTTTGGGAGCACAGGTAGATGGGCTCTCATGGGGAATGCAGGCCCCCACGACTCAGTAATGCCGGAGATCGCTCAGGTCACAGCCATGTCGTTCTTGAACTCATTTTGGAAAGCCGGAAGTTCAGGTGACATTCTGTGAAATTCATTAACTTAAAGACCATGACCAAATTGGGGGTGATGATGACAGATGGTATTTAATACTGCCTCCAGCTTTTTCTCCCCACAGCAATATTATTCCCTAATACTATTTCAGTCTCATTTATCTCCTTGTGCTAAAATGCCAGTACTCAAAAATATGTCAAAAACTTATCAGAATATCAGGGTAGCTTTTAATTATGATAATTGTGTTGTTATAAAATATCCTTTTAAAGAGCACATCCCTCCTCAAACTCCCATGGAGGTAACACCCAGCTTCCTTCCAGCAAGCTTAATGAATAATTCTGAATCATTGTGTGGGATGAATAAATGATTTAATAATGAGCATCAACAATCATCTCACATTGTGGCATTAATTTTCTAAACGGGATGAGGTAAATGAGGAGGAGGGCTGTTACTATACAATGGGCCACCATGTGTGTAGGGATGCGTTCTTTGAATCAAAGCCTCCAGCCTCCGAGCTCAGGTTTCCCTAGAAACAGATGCATTCTGTTTCTCCTTTTGAAGCTCAATAAAAAAACCTTCTCTGTATGATGCGAAAATGTTGTCAATAGCCAGTACAAATAAACAGTTATCGGGGCAGGACAGATGCACAGATGTGAAGCGGCACAGTTATTTTCTGTCTTCTTTGCTCTGCCTGAGGATAATCAATTTCATCACATCCACGGGATGTAGAAATTGGTTTTCCCCTTAATTCACCTGATACCTAGTTGGAGTTACAAAGACAGTAGATAATGAAATCTTGGTCGAACCTCCTGGCCATTGTCTGTATCCCTCATGCCTTTTTCAGCAGAAGGTTAATATGTGACCCAGTTAATACAGATTTCAATTTAAAAACTCAATGTTAAAAAACAAAAGTCTAGCTCTTTAACTGACCCTGTTTCCCTTGATGTCTCGATACCTTTTCTTTTTTCCATTCTCAACATAGAACTGTGTAGTAGAAAGCCCAGAGTGAATTTGGCAATTATGAAAAATGCCAGTAAGTTGATCTTTCCTGTAAAAGCTAATGAGTAATTTCACAGAATTATAGTTTCACCTCTATTT